CTCCTCCTCCTCCTCCTCCTCCTCCTCCTCCTCCCCCTTTATTCACACCAGGGGGGCTCAACCTTTTTGAGCCAAGAGGCACATTTGGAATTCTGATATGGCATGGTAGGTGCAGTAACAAAGTGGCTGCCACAAAATGGCTGCCACAAGAGCCAGGGCCAGCCACAAAATGATTGTCACAGTTTAACTTCAGTAACACGGTGCTGTGGTGGCACAGCTGCGGCTAAAGCGACATTTTTAAAAATCTGCACAGCCAATCAAATCTCCAGTAGCCAATCAGAAGCCTGGCTGGGCAAATGCCCTACCTGGCCCCGCCCACTCCCTAAAAGCACCTGGCGGGCGACTGAACTGTGGGGGGCCCTTCCCTAGTCTTCTATTCCTCCCTCTCCTGGTCAACCAGTGTTTTCATATTTTAAAACCTTGATTTATTTTAGTACAGCACAAAATATCACACCATTCATATGACATGACATTTCCTACTCCCTGATGCAGAGAAAAACAAAGTGGCATTTAAAATATTTATTTACGTAGCTTATTTGGAGCCCTCCTTTCTCACTTAGACCCAAGGCGGATTACAGAAAAAGAAAAGGAGGAAAGGTATTCGCACAGCAGAAGATACCGACGCAGTAGGAATCGGAATACAAAATGCAATGACCCCATGAACAGCATTGAGGGCAGAAAACTGCCTAAGGCGAGGCGTGGGGTGGGCGCTGCAGAAAGTGGGATTACAAAGTATAAAACAGGGATGGCCAAACTTGCTCACTGTAAGAGCCACAGAGAATAAACATCAGATGTTTGAGATGTCATTCAGTGATCTGATAACTGACACCTCTTGCTCTGAGTTACTGCATCAAAATGTCTGTGCTGTTGCAATCTTGAGTGTGCTGTTCAGGTGTGTATCTGTAAGCTGCAAAGCTACTTTTGGTTTATTGACATTCACCACTGAAATCTCATGCTCAGATCTCTAAGTCTAGGACCCAGGGGGAAAACATGAAATGTCTGAGCGATTGAGAGAGTCTGGCGAAGTAAGCAGCAGCAGCAGAACTGGAAACAGGAGATGGCCAGTTCCAGTGCGGGGCTCATGGAAGCCCTCTGGGGGCCTGATCTGGCCCCCAGGCCACATGTTTGACACCCCTGGCTTAGAGCTACTGAATAGCAATGAGAATCTATGTTATATGCTGCTGGAAATTGTACCATTTTACCAGTTGCTGTTACAGGCTATTTATATTTTAGTGATGTTTTATTGCTCTGATGGGCGTTTGAACCTGCCTGAAGCTTTGGGGAGGCAGGAAACAGGAACCGCTGGCTGCATTATGACCAGTTTGTCTGTCGATTATAGATGTAAGGTGTTTCAGGCTAACAACTAGTCCATGACCAGATTGCGCTAAAATCGTCATCTACTTTTTCTTCCAGGTACTTGGGGGAGGGCAGAGGTTCCATTCCGCCAGAATTTCTTCTCCTCTCTCCCTTCTTCTGCCCTCGAAATACACAGGAGATGCGTCTGCCAAAGCAATCTGTATTACTACATTGGAACAGCCTCTGTATATAAAAGAATGTGCAGTCCTGCATCAGTATTAAATCTTACTTTATTATTTTTTTTGTTTCCCTTTTTGCCTTCTGTATCAATTGATCCACCCAAATTAAAACACATGCACACACGCACAGACTGCAGTCTCTGTCGAGCTTTTGTACAGTTGATAGATGCCACGTTTCTTAACGGCTACCCAAGTCTCTTGAGAATCACCCCTTATTCCTGAATGTCACATAGAACATAACAAGGTCCCTCAATTCGAAATGTCTATGTGGCATCCCATTGTTTTTGGAAATAGAAGCAGGTTTTCTGTTTGTGTTGCCAGAGAAGAGATTAGGAGAGAGTAAGCGAATGACACTACACTGAAAGATCTGCATGTTGGAATATTCGTTCATTCATCTCCATTTACTTAACAAGAAAGTTTCCAGTTCTCATGGTTACAGGAGGAAAGGGTTTCTATGACTGTCAAAGGGTAAGAAACCTGGACGAGTGTTTCCATGGTTGTAAACACATCCCTCTCCCTTTCCTGAACAGATCCGGAAGGCATGTTTCTGTTTGTTTATTTCTCTCCCCATCCTCTCATCCTGGAGTCATCGTACTAAAAGATATGGGCAGGAGTAGAAAATCTGAGAACAACAGTTCCTACGTCTGATGTATTTCTCCCCACCATCTACCTACTTTAAAAGAAAAGTATCACTTGAGATTACAAACCCAACAATGGCTCTGGATGGGGGGGGGGGTTGTACTGCAGGGACGGAGGTCACTTTAGGGTTGCCAGGTTCCCCCTGGCCACCGGCAGGGAATGGGGGGTTAGTGTTGCCAGATCCAGGTTGGGACCTCCTGGAGATTTGGGGCTGGAACAGCGTCAAGAGGGAATTAGATAATCATATGGAACAGAAGTCCATCAGTGGCTATTAGCCACAGGGTATAGGTAGGAACTTTCAGTCTGGGGCAAGGGATGCTCTGTCTTCTTGGTGCTTGGGGGGGGGCAACATTGGGGGCCTTCTAGTGTCCTGGCCCCACTGGTGGACCTCCTAATGGCACCTGGTATTTCTGGCCACTGTGTGACACAGAGTGTTGGACTGGATGGGCCATTGGCCTGATCCAACATTGACTTCTCTTATGTTCTTATGTCTGGGGCAAGGGATGCTCTGTCTTGGTGCTTGGGGGGGGCAACAGTGGGAGGGCTCCTGGTGTCCTGGCCCCACTGCTGGACCTCCTGACGGCACCTGGTATTTCTGGCCACTGTGTGACACAGAGTGTTGGACTGGATGGGCCATTGGCCTGATCCAACATTGACTTCTCTTATGTTCTTATGTCTGGGGCAAGGGATGCTCTGTCTTGGTGCTTGGGGGGGGCAACAGTGGGAGGGCTCCTGGTGTCCTGGCCCCACTGCTGGACCTCCTGATGGCCCCTGGTATTTCTGGCCACTGTGTGACACAGAGTGTTGGACTAGATGGGCCATTGGCCTGATCCAACATTGGCTTCTCTTGTGTTCTTAACCTGGGGAAGGCAGGGACCTCAGTGGGGTGCGATGCCATAGAGTCCACCCTCCAAAGCATCCACTTTCTCCAGGGGAACTGATCTCTGTAGTCTGGAGATGAGCTGTAATTCTGGGGGGATCCCCAAGTCCCACCCGATGACTGACATCCTGAGGCCACTTAGATAATGGGTATTTTTGTTCACACGCAAGGTACTTTTATCAGAAGCACAGGACGTTCCTGCCTCCTCCCCTCCCTCCCCACTGTGGCCCACTGATCCTGGAGAACACGGGTATTGTGGGAAACCGCATGAGAGGCAAACTAGGGGGGGGGGTCCTGCAGCAGTCAAGAGGGAATTATGGGTAGAAATCACCCCACCTCTTTCATTAACAGAAAATTTAGTCTGGCTCCAACCCCATGAGGCTGAATTCACACGTGCCACTTAAAGCAACTGGGTTCAAATATAAGAGCATAAGAGCGTAAATGGAATTGTACATCCCAATATCTTCTGCATTATTGCATGAATCCATCTCCAGTATCTCTTAGTTACGTCACAATGCCACCACATACGATAAAAGGATCCTGTACTAAATAAACACTTCCAACATTTGTTAGAATGCTTACTATTCCCTTTAGCTATTCTATCAGGTATTATATACCATCTCTAAAACGTATTCTCTTTAAATACAATAGCTTTCATTATCTTAATGTTTTCTTTCCATATTTGTTCCCATTGTCCTAATTCAATATTCTGGCTTACACTCTGTCACACAGTGGCCAAAAATACCAGGACACTAGAAGCCCTCCCACTGTTTCCCCCCCTAGCACCAAGAATACAGAGCATCCCTTGCCCCAGACCGAGAGTTCCTATCTATACCTTGTGGTTAATAGCCACTGATGGACCTCTGCTCCATGTGTTTATCTAGTTCCCTCTTGAAGCCGTCCATGCTTGTAGCCACCCACCACCACCTCCTGTGGCAGTGAATTCCATGTGTTGGTCACTCTGGTATAAGAAGGACTTCCTTTTATCTGTTCTAACCCAACTGCTCAGCAATTTCATTGAGTGCCCACGAGTTCTTGTATTGTGAGAAAGGGAGAAAAGTACTTCTTTCTCCACCTGCTCTTCCATGCATAATCTTATAAGCCTCGATCATGTCACCCCTCAGCCGTCTTTCTCCAAGCTAAAGAGCCCCAAGCATCAAAGGGGACCTGTAGGAAATGAGTCCCTGAACACACACACACACACACACACACACACACGTCCCGGTTCTTCCCTGCTGCTTGAGCACAGGCAGGCTTGGCATGAGGCCACACTTGGTCCAAGCGGAATGGAGGAGGACTTCCCAGTCCCTGTAATGGCCTGTTGGAGAAGCTGATATAAGCTGCTAGGCCACTGATGGCGAACCCTTTAGAGACCGAGTGCCCAAACTGCGACCCAAAACCCAATTATTTATCGCAAAATGCCAACACGGCAATTTAACCTGGTAACTGAGGTTTTACTTTAGAAAAAACAACTCATACATTAACTTAAGATGATCCAAACAAAGTAAGGAAAGCAATCCCAAATGCTTTCATTGACTTAAAATTATTTGGCAGAGAATTCCACAGTTTAATGACGGTCTGGGCCTGGCTGGGGCGATGGCACGCGTGCCCACAGAGAGGGCTCTGAGTGCCACCTCTGGCACCCGTGCCATAAGTTCGCCACCACTGTGCTAGGCCCACACCGCAAGAAAACAAAAACAGAGGCACAGTACCCCTGGGAAACCCCATGGTTTTGGGTACCACTTTGGAGCCCCATGGTTACACATGCGCACATTTCTTCCTCTATAAATCAATGCAGAATTTTGTTGTTGTGCATTCGCACAGTGGAGTCCGTCTCTTTGTGACAGTAACAAAAGTCAGTGCAGAAACATTTTGCCAAATTGATGAAGAAGAAGAAGAAGAAGAAGAAGAAGAAGAAGAAGAAGAAGAAGAAGAAGAAGAAGAAGAAGAAGAAGAAGAAGAAGAAGAAGAAGAAGAAGAAGAAGAGAGATTGGATTTATACCCCGCCCTTCACTACCTGAGGGAGTCTCAGAGCGGCTTACAAACTCCTTTCCCTTCCCCTCCCCACAACAGACACCCTGTGAGGTAGGCGGGGCTGAGAGAGCTCTTGACAGAAACTGCTCTTTTTCAAGAACTGCTCTTATCAGAGCTACGGCTTGCCCAAGGTCATCCAGCCAGGTGCAAGTGGAGGAGTGGGGAATCAAACCCGGTTCTCCAAGATTAGAGTCCACGCACTTAACCACTACACCAGACTGCCAGAGAGAAAAGTTATACTCATTTTGATGCTTGGAGGATGGGTTCCCTGCTTGCTCCGGGCCTTTCGTCTAAGGGTAAACTCCCTTCTTATTTAGATTCCTTGGTTAGACCATAGTTACGTAGGACCTTTAGGCATTCATGATGAAACTGCCCCTTTTCAACAGTATTACTGGGTCGTCTGCTAAGAATCCTTTTTTCACATCGGCTATGTCCCTGCTCCCTCCAGTCAGTGGGCTCTCTTGTACACATTCTCCTGCAGTGTCCTCACCTGCTCCAGTTCAGGCTAAAATGGATTATGCCATGCCTTTATAAATGGACTACACTTCCTGTAGTGACATTAGTTCTTCTTAGAGGATTCTGATTTCCAACGTACTTATTTTGTTGTTTGATTTCTAGAGACTGCAGAGACGTGTCGAAGGGGAGGTGTTTTTAGACACGGATTTTATTTATTTTTTTGGTTTTATTGTTCAAGACCTTGGTCTAAGAATAGGGAAAAGAAACAAGAAACACGCACATATTTTGGGCGCTCCACTTTAGGTAGGAATGAAAGTTTGTTCTCCTATGTAAATTGGCTTGCTGGCAGGGGTCATTTCCTGCAGGAGCGCACAGGAGCAGAGCTCTGGCAGTAAAGAGCCCAGGGGGCGGACACATGCAACAAGCCCCACCCCCTGCTCCCAGCAGCCCTCAGTCAGAGCAAGACGTAGCCAGGTAAGTTGGAGAGCCCCCCCCTGGCCCCCCAGCCCAAAACAGTCCAGTGGCACCTTTAAGACCAAGTTTTATTCAGGTACAAGCCCTCTCTGTGGTGACAGGTCTGCACGCCCCCCCCCCAGTAGCTAGCAATCCAAAAGAGTCCAGTGGAGCCTGAGTGGTGGGTGTTGCCTTCTGACACACTTCCGGTGATGTCAGGGGCTGTGGCATATGCAATTAAGTTATGCTAATGAGTTATGCTAATGAGCTCCTGCACCTCTTTTTCTATGAAATGACCCCTGCTTGCTGGTAACACTCGTTCTGGGACCTCAGGTAGATAGACAGGCCTCTCCCTGCACTTGGTACCTCTTTATAGCGGCCGCGGGACTTCGTGGCTTCTTGAAAGTTGGCAAAGCGTCAGGTCAGCAGCAGCTCTCTTCTTGCCATGGCATCAGAATGATTAACTTCAGCCAGCTTTCTACATCTTCTGCTGAGATCCAGAGGTCATTTCGGGGGGGAACGCGGGGGAACGCAGTTCCCCCGGGTGAGGTGCAGGGGGGCGGGGCACATGACGAAGCCCCGCCCCCTGCTTCC